GCATCTTCCAGTTTTTGAAAAGTATATTTATATATACACATAGTTTCTAAAATGCCAAATCTGGTTTATATCAAAGACTAATTCTTAACTTTGCGAATGTGAGAGCTTTCTTTCACCTCATCAGGACACCGTTTTCTGCTCTAAAAGGGAGTTCTACAGTGCTTAAGTTGAGGACATTTGGCATCCTGGGCAAAAATAATTAGCACATTTCACGGCAAAGCAGCAGATAGCAATTGTTATGTGTTTGTTATTTGTGCATGTAAGTGTACAGTCACAAGTGCCACAGTGTAGGTAAGAGGAGGATTTGTAAGAGTCAGTTCTTGCTGGGTAGTCATGGCACACACCTTTAATCCCAGCACTGGGGAGGCAGAGGCAGGCAGATCTCTGTGAGTTCAAGGCCAGCCTGGCATATAGATCGAGTTCCAGGACAGCCAGGGCTACACAGGGAAACGCTGTCTCAAAAAACAAAAAACAAAACAAAAGAAAACAAAAAACAAAGAGAAAAACAAAACAAGAAAGAGTTCTCTCCTTCTTTTTTTTTTTTTTTTTTTTTTTTTGGTTTTTCGAGACAGGGTTTCTCTGTGTAGCTTTGTGCCTTTCCTGGAACTCGCTTTGGAGACCAGGCTGGCCTTGAACTCACAGAGATCCGCCTGGCTCTGCCTCCCGAGTGCTGGGATTAAAGGCGTGCGCCACCACCGCCCGGCCGAGTTCTCTCCTTCTACACCTCAGGTCCTGGGGACTGACCTTGGGCCACTTACCCACAGAGTCATCTTGAGGGCCCTAGACGTTCATTTTATTTTATTTTATTGTTTTTTATTCATCATGGCAATGGGTTTCTGGTTGGGAGAAGTTCTCATGGAAGGTTGAGAGTAAACGCATCAGTGTGTATGAAAGCATGTGTAAATAAAGGTCTGTTACCACTGTAAAACACCTCACAGCTGGCAGAGATTAGTCAGTAAAGCAGATTCCACTGACAGAATTGGAAGAGATTTCCCCTCAAATAGGAGGATGGTGGTCATCCTGCATCTCTCTTAGGTTTCTTTTCTCGTTTTAGCGGAAACAGGCTCAGCCGTATGAAAGTGACTTGCATCTTCTGGCTGGCTTTGTATCTTCTGGCTGGCTGCTTGATGTGTCTCTGAGCTCTGTGTCAGAGAATTAGTAATGGCCCTACAGTTGCCCAGCTGGTCAGGCTTTTCCTATGGGCATTTCCAGTGGTTCCGGGAGCATTCATGCCTGCCTTGCCCTACCATGGATTTTCCCTGCGAGGAGAATTTCTTTATTGATGTTGGTGATGGAGCTTCGCATTGTCTCCATGAGCTGATGAATCCTTTGCAGGGGTCCTGAGTATGGACAAGCCTACTGAAAAGTCAGTTTTCACATCTCAAAAAAAGCAGCGAGGGGGAGCAAGCTCGGACACCATGGTGGAAAACCTCGGGCTAGCAGGAATCTCCTTGTGGGGTTTCCTCTGCTGTGTGTCACCAGGACACTGGAGTGATTCTTTCATGTATCACTATGCTCTTAGATCTGCTGGCTCTCCGATGTGTGCTTTCGGGGTTTGCCCGAGATGGGACCCACAGAACAGCATAATGACGTGTGTGTGTGTGGGACAGAATGCAGAGCTAAAGGTTGGTCTTAGATTTTAAGTAGATTCCTCCATTGCATAATTAGGCTAATCAAGAGAGACATTTAGGAGGCTTATCCAGGACTTGAAAGAACAGCTGTTCAACGATAAAACAGAATCTACGCAGTTTTAATGCAAAGGAATCCGAGGTTCACTTTTTAATTTTTTTTCTAAAGCAAAGCACCTGCGAACTTGAATGGATGGGGGATTTGAGAGTTCCTATGTTTATGATAATGCTTGCCACTCTGATCGGGAGGCAGAGCTGAAAGTCTGTTTCTTCCAGCGGTCTTCTGCCTCCTTCTTGCTCTAATCTCTGTTCTGTGCTCGGTTCTTGTTGATTTGCATGTATGAATAGTAACACCTACTGACGGGCAGGACTCAGGAGACGCAATTTGGTTGACGGCTTTTCCTACCGCCGCGCCCTGTCAGCATCTTGCATTGATTTGGAGTGTAATCAATGCTCCTCGTTACTGCAGTGCCTGCTCCCCCTGGGCTCTGCCTTGCCTCCTCCAGCTCTGTTCTCTTGGCATTGCGTTGCTGTGGATTGCTTGGAAAAGCTCGATTTCACCCTGCCTAGATACTGGAGGGATCAGTTGGGGGGCTATTAATATGTTCCGGAGGGAAATAGCTCACACGGTCTTTTTTAATCGAATAATTTCTTGCCTGCTTTATAATTTATCATATCCTTTGTTTGAAATATTATAGCTCTCCAGCTAGGAATTACAGTACCCTTTGAAAACACCAGCTTGGTGTTAGGAGAGCCATGATATGAGTTTCTAATCAAAATTCACCACATGGGCTCTGTCTTTTCAATAGGGGATATTTAAAAACCTGGGAGAGTGGGGCCAGCGGTACACATCCCCGGAACTGGCAAATCTCAGATAATGTGCAGAGTCCACAGGAGGAATATTTTTTCCCTTGAGAAGGCAGTCCCTTTTCCAATGCAAGACACTCCCCACCCCGCGACCTCGTAGCCTTTAACGCCGGGAGATCCTTGCGTCCTGTATTTGCTTCCTGTGGGGGCTTCATTTAAGCAATGACTGACTATTTCTCTGAGAAGGCTTGGGAACCTGCGTCCCAGATACTTTCTTCTTCTTGGTCCCTTCCAACTGCATAAAAGAATGCTTTGCCAGAAGGTTCTCCACAGTCCCAGGCAAGCTTCCTGTGAACCTTACGTACTTTTCCACCTCTGGCTGGACACAGGGGGAGCATGGTTGGGTCATGACAGCTCTGTGTGAGACTGGGGAAATGGTGGAATAACACTTTTACCCATTATCACGGCTTTTCATCTTTTACTCGCTTCTCATTTTGCTTCTCACATAATGTTTTCAAAATAGCTGGAGGAGCATTGTTTGAAGTTGCAACAGCCACAGGATAATTCACACAAAGTACCTCTCCCGGTCTCAGATGTTCAAGGTTGTGTTTATGTATTTTTAAACCTGCCCATAGTTATTTCACAAGAATGGCTGTGTCTATTAGCTCCCCCCCCCCCCCACACCTTTGGTTGGTTCTGTGTAGATGAGAACCCCTTTAAAGACATAAAAGGCCTCTGCGAGGGCTTTCGGCTGTGAAATCTTTTGTGCCAGCTTGGGGTCCCTTTGTTGTAGGAACACCAAAAGCTTAATATTCCCATAAAATAGGCCCTGGACTTAAAAAAGGCTAGTTTGTCAATCTATTGATTGCCCCAGGCTAAGAAAGCTAATTCCTCAGCACTACCACTGCACGCATTGAACAGGTTGATCCTTCCAGGTCAAACAACTGACACCGTTAAAATAATATTAAGGTTTGTTGCTGCACAAGCCAAATAGCTGTGAAAATCCATCATCGCTACCTGATGCCTCTACCCTTTAATTTCTATTATTACAGAAAGATGGAGGAAGGCGCCAGGCAAAGTCCAGGGAAATGTATTCAAAGTGATCTACAGTGTTCTTAATAAAAACGCCCTTCCTTGACGAGCACCTGAATAGGCATATAAATATAACCAGCAATGGGAGTTTCAATCAGACCTTTACAGCTTCTCCGTTTTTTCAAGACTGACTTCCTTTCAAGACTGACCAAGTTCAATTCTGGTCTAGAGTTTTGGCTTCCCTCTTCACCCTAAGATGATTCTTCCTCCATACATAATTTTTGTTGTTGTTATTGTTGGCCACGTATGAGATTAAGCTTTTGTACAGCACCTAAATTGACTTTGCTTATAAAAATTGGTGACCATTACTTGAAGTTTTTGAAAAATACTGAAAAAAAAAAAAAAAAAAAGAAAAAGGAATCAGTAGTCTGCAAAGTGTCTTGCTCATGTGATGCTGCTGGGTGTTGGTGAGCCAGAGGCTCCAGCATAGCATGTCTTTCCCAGCTTGCTTGCTGGGCTGGGCTGTCTTCAGACATACTGCCTTTCTGCTTAGAGTGTACAACCCAGCATTCAACTAGACAGAGCCTCTGAGATACCTGTAACTTGGGTCGATACGAGATGGAAGGTAGGAATCTGAAAAGGAGGCACAATAGTGACGTGTAACATGTGATATTTTCTCCTTAAAGCACTGCGTGCCTATGAGTGGATGGAGAAGGAACCAAGCACCCTCCAGAGGGAAGAAGACACCTCTAAGGAGATTTGAAGATGCCATTAATGTCCATGCCTGGCACTAGTGACTTTGTCAAATGTCTAGGAAAGGGTCGTGGCAAGAGCAGAGACACATGGAGAAAGGGAGGAAAATAACAAAGAAAAGTAAGAAGTAACCGTGGCTGTGAGTGACGGGGGCGAGGAGTTCAGGCTGGTTTCTGATGAGCTGCTTTCTTGTCTTTCTTTCCTGGTGTAACAGAGACCTCAGTGTGAGAAACTGAGCTGTGTTTATCCCTGGATTTATTGGTTCTGTCTGGGCAGGTAATTGGGTGACACTGCCACTCCTTAAGGACTGAAGCTAATCTCTGATTTCAGAGTCTACCCTGGAGGAAGATGTCACAACAACAAAGACACAGTTTTAAGTATGTTGCAAAGGTGTCTGTCATATGCCGGAAAATACCACTCATCAGAAAAGAATGGCATAAATCCTGCCAGCTACCTGAAACATTCTCATAAGCAGACTGAGTGAGATGTGCCAGCATCTGCCTCTGCATGGACTTTCCTGTATATTACTCATTTTGTTTACAAGTTGAAATTTATTTATTATTAGCGTGTGTGATATAGCACACGTGTAAAGGCCAAAAGGCAATTTTATGCGCTCATTTTTCTCCTTCCTCCTTTAGGTGGGTTCCAGGGATTGAACTCAGGTTGCCAGGCTCACACAGCAAATGCTTCTACCCACTGGGCTATCTTGCCAGCTCTAGTTTGTGTATAATTTATGTAACTCAGTCTCCCATAAAATGTGATTCCTCTGTCAATTCTCAGGTCGTCCAGGGGCTGTTTATATGAAGACTGAAGACTGTCCTATGGACACAGGATGCAGAGCAAGAAAGGAAGGGGTAAGTTTGAACATAGCGAGGTGTTCTTCACATAGCTTATAGTTGTGGGGCTTGTCCACATTTAAAGGAAGAGAATGAGGGGAATTGAAGGTAGGTGTGTGTGCGTGTATGTTTGGAGGCCAAAAGATTATCTCAGGTGTTATTCTTCAGAAGTCACTTACCTTGTTTTGCAAGACAGTGGCTCTCACTGGCCTGAAGCCTACCAAGTAGTCTAGGTTAACTGGCCAGCAAGCTCCAGGAATCTGCTTCCCTAGGGCTGGGATTCCAATCGGGCACCACCATGCCTGGCTCTGGTGACTGATTGCTGGTTTTCATGCTTCCAAGGCGAGCCCTGGGTTATCTCTACATGGTTTTCCTCTTTGAGTTGATGGGAACACCAAATGGATATGGAGGCCAAGGGTTGAGCATCCACCACTTACTTCTGCAAATGGAGGGGTGGGAAGATGATGTGATGATTGGACAGACTTCATGGCAAGAGTTGACAAATGGATAGTTGTTACATAGTAAGCGAGGGATCTCTTTAAGCAAACTTCCTACATCATGACAGTAATAAGTACCACAGGGGGAACTATACCTATTCTTTCCCACAGTTCGTCAAGATTTCTGATGCCAAATACCAACAGACCGTGTTTATATCTCAGTTCTGGCAACTAATAATTTCGAGTTGGGTAAAGTTGTTATTCATTGAATCTAAGCCTTGTAAGGTGATGGTTAGGATTAGTGAAAAAGTACTTGAAGCGGCTGCCTCATCTGGTGGTTGTCATTATTATCTCTCTTGTTTAGGCCCCTCTCGGAGGAGACAGGGGCTGTAATTTTGAAGTGTTCATCCATCCTTTCATAATTTATTGAGTGCATACCATGAGTTGAGCACCAGGCCAGACTCTGGGGATTTAAGAAGGCAGTGAGCTGGAAAGTAGGTAAGGCAGAAGGAAAGCTATTTCATGGAAGATGTGGTATTGGAATACTAGAACTGGATTGGGTTGTGACTGTGATTTGGGATAAAAAATTGCCACTATAAAATTGGACCTTAGTGTTCCAGTGAATATTACAGTTGAGCAGGATTCAGCTACATTAAACCTTCTGTCATAAAGACAGAGGTAATGGCTTTCTGTGGGCACAGCAGTGGAGATGCTTCAATTGTTAAGTATTTATATAACCCTTATATTTGCAATGTATGCACTTTATCATTTCCCAGAAGCTTACGCCGAGAAATCCTTATGCTGAGGATGCTCCTTACAGGTTCTGGGCTGTGTCTAGCTCTCTTGGCAAATGTTAAAGTCCACTCAAGCAAGCTGCTCTATAGAAGGGGGCAAATCAGGGGAAAAAGTAGTGTGAGGAGAGCTGACATGCTCTCCTTGATTGCTTGAGCTGCATCCCTCCAGGTTCCTCTCGGGGGTGTTCTGGAGGGTCATATGCAATGCAGGTGCAGCCCTCAGTCTCTGGGGAAGGTGGGCTGAGCAAGCTTGTTCTTGGGGCATGCCTGGCTGTGTTTTATTTCTCGTCTTCCCTCTGTGCCCACTCTCCCAGGGCTGTCTCTACTGTAGGGCCACGGTGTGGCCCATAGGGCACATAGTGACTCATGAGCGGAATGAAGACACTGCTGCTTTGCTGCTATGCAGGGACGCAGAGATTAAATTACATATTGAGACCGGCTATTTTTCCCAGGGGAAACTTCCATTTAAGGGACACAACTGCTGTCTTTTCAGCTAAGAAGAGAGTTGATTGCACTTCCTTACTCATGCGTTTGAATCAGGAGTTCTCCCCTGGAAGATGGTTTTCCTGTCTAGACGTCACTTCTTTCTACTTGGTTACATGCACATTGTAATTATTACTGGCACGTCTCTGCTTTCCAGCTTGGACTTAACTGTGGTCCATTCAACCCTCTCAACCAAGTGAAGGTATAAGAGTTCTGAGAGTGTAGCTAGAGTCTTCCTGCCTGGCCCACAGTCAGGATGAATCTCTCTCACCTGCCAGTCCCACAGCCGCTCAGACCCAACCAAGTAAACACAGAGACTTATATTGGTTACAAACTGTATGGCCATGGCAGGCTTCTTCCTAACTGTTCTTACAGCTTAAATTAATCCATTTCTATAAATCTATACCTTGCCACATGGCTCGTGGCTTACCGGCATCTTCACATGCTGTTTCTCATCGTGGCGGCTGGCAGTGTCTCTTTGACTCAGCCTTCCACTTCCCAGCTTTATTCTCCTCCTTGTCCCGCCTACACTTCCTGCCTAACCAATGGCCAATCAGTGTTTTATTTATTGACTAATTAGCAACACATTTGACATACAGAACATCCCACAGCATGAGAGCTTTCTGGTTTATGAGATAAAAGAACAAAGAATTTCACCTGGAAAAAAAAAATTGAATGCAAAAGCTTGTGAGATGTGATTAATAATATAGAAACACTATTTATTTATTTAGTGTGTATATTATGCATGTGTGAGCATGTGTGTGCACACGCAGGTGTGCTCAGCCAGTGAATGTGCATGTGGAGGTCAAAGGTCATGTGTCTTCCTTTATCATTTTCCATATTATTATTATTATTATTATTATTGATGTAGGGGTCTCTCAAACCCCAAACTTTCTGTTGCTTCTGGGAAACTTTTTGGCTATGCTGGCTGGCCAGCAAGCCCCTCAGATCCTCCTGTTCTACCCAGCCCCCAGAACTAGTGTTCTATGTAGATGCCCTCTGGTCTCGCTTTTACCTGAGCAATGGGGTCTGAACTCAAGTCCTCACGCTGCACAGCAAGTACCTTACCAACCGGGTCATCTCCCCAGCCCACGCTTTTATTTTTATTATTAAGTGTTTACTGAGTAGTTGTCACACTGTAGGCACAGACCTACCTATGTTATGTTTCATGTGTTTTTTTTTTTCTATGTTTTAACCTCTATACACCACAACTGGGAAAGAAGGAAACTGAGGCATCAAAAACGTGCTTATATGGGAAGGTCGTGTGTCTGGGAAGTGTTGGGGTCCTTCCTCCCTCCCTCCCTCTCTTCCTTCCTTCTTTCCTTCCTCCCAACAAGGTCTTACTATCTAGTCCAGGCCACGCTTATATTCGTGATCCTCTTGGTTTGGCTTCCCAAGTACTGGGATTACAAGTGTGCAACACTACACCTGACTTTGGAGAAAGGTTTTGAATTCCTGAATAGCTCCCATGTATCTTTTTTTGATCATTGTGTAATATGATGATCTACAGTGTAATAAGGTTTCAAGACAAATCTACCGAGTGTGTACACACACAGACATACACACACAGACACAGACACAGACACTGACTCAGACACACACACACACACACACACACACACACACACACACACAGCTGTGTTCTTCCAAATCACCTCCTTGAAGGGTTCCATATTTGCAGAGACCCACAGAGGTTTCCTAGTGAGAACTTACTCAGGGTCGAGTATCTGAGCTTGCTTTACCCAGCAGGGCTGTACAAGGGGATGATTTGACCACGGGCATGGTTACCAAGTGTTTGGAAGGGTCTGCACTTGGCTGTGTGGTGTGTTTTGATCTAGTAAGGGGGAGGTCTTTTGCCCTGCCCCTTGGCATTATTATAAAATGCCCTTTTGAATAAACTGAAAAGGCCATTGGGTATTGACCCAGGTCCTCCCGAAGCTATCTCATGATATTGTCTTTCTTCTTGTCAACTAGGTCTCTCTTTCTACCTAATATTTCTTATCCCTTTCTCCTCCTCATAAGAACCCTTTAACAGATGGGAGCTGGTCTCCCACACATATTTCAGCTGCTCAAGATAATTTTCGAGTTTTCTCCCTCTCCTCCCCAATCCCATTCATCCTGTGTTGCTTGAGTTTTCTTGCCTGGCCCACAGTCAGGACAAATCTCTCTCACCCGCCAGTCCCAAGCCGCTCAAACCCGATCAAGTAAACACAGAGACTTATATTGGTTACAAACTGTATGGCTGTGGCAGGCTTCTTGCTAACTGTTCTTACAGCTTAAATTAATCCATTTCTATTAGTCTATACCTTGCCACGTGGCTTGTGGCTTACCGGTACTTTACATCTTCCTTATCCTGATGGCGGCTGGCAGTGTCTCCCTCTCCAGCTTCCTGTTCTCTCAATTTTCCTCTGTTAGTCCCGCCTATACTTCCTGCCTGGCCACTGCCAATCAGTGATTTATTCATTGACCAATCAGCAACACATTTGACATACAGACCATCCCACAGCACCTCCCCTTTTCTTTTCTTAAAAAGGAAGGTTTTAACCTTTACACATCTCCAAAGTCAGCTTGGTATATTTGGGAATTTGGGCGTAGCTTCTCTTACTACTTCCTGCTGGAGGGGGGCGCTGTATCTTCTGGGGAAACAAAGAAAATTTTAGGATCATGGAGTAGTCCGTGAGGCTGTATCATCTGAGCCAGTTGTCTTGAAACGGTTCTGGATGTTGGATCATCTGGGCCATGGTGTCATCGGAGACCTTTCAGGGGGTCTTGGCTGGTCAAACCTGATGTATCTTACTCTGGAACAAATCCATAGCCTCTTGCTTTCTGTGGAAACAAAAGAGACTCTTTTCCAAAGCAACATATCCTTACATCCAAATTTTGAAGTCAAAGTATCTTTAAAATATACGTACTGGTTTAACTCAGCTTCCTTTACAATCAAACATCTCTCTGTAGTTAAGAATCCCAAAGACAGCACAATCCAGACTCTCTGTGTAATAGTCATCTCTACGTGGCTTATTTTTTATATTAATTTTACTGTCTCTTTAAAGACTTTATTTTTTAAAACCATGTATTTGTTTCTATACTGTATATATCACCTTTTTTTTGTCTCTTTCAAGCCTACGTATATTTTACACACATTTTAAACTATTACATCTGAATCTGTCTTATTGTGAATCTATTGCTTTAAGCTGCAGCAGCTGTGGCTGCTGGCTCCGCCCACCGCAGCTTCCTAACATGGCGTGGTACTTTACCACCAGCTCTGGGAGCTATGGTGGGTCTATGCTTTTATCCAAGCAGCGTGTAGCCCAGAAACCTCTTTTTTTGTTTTGTACTAGCAAAGGCTAAATCCACAGTGTAGCTTAATGTGCCACTTGCAGAGGCCTCATTCCCACCATACTGCAGGTCGAGCGCGCACGCCAGCAACCCGCCAGTAGCTCAAACCGGCAGCTGCCGCTCATTTGAGAGAGACAATTAGGAAGCTGTTTTTAGCTCCGTTTTAGAATCTTTTTTCTCAGGTTTTAGGTGGAAACTCTTGCCACCACGTTGGACGCCATTTGTTGCTTGAGTTTTCTTGCCTGGCCCACAGTCAGGACAAATCTCTCTCACCCGCCAGTCCCAAGCCGCTCAAACCCGATCAAGTAAACACAGAGACTTATATTGGTTACAAACTGTATGGCTGTGGCAGGCTTCTTGCTAACTGTTCTTACAGCTTAAATTAATCCATTTCTATTAGTCTATACCTTGCCACGTGGCTTGTGGCTTACTGGTACTTTACATCTTCCTTATCCTGATGGCGGCTGGCAGTGTCTCCCTCTCCAGCTTCCTGTTCTCTCAATTTTCCTCTGTTAGTCCCGCCTATACTTCCTGCCTGGCCACTGCCAATCAGTGATTTATTCATTGACCAATCAGCAACACATTTGACATACAGACCATCCCACAGCAATTCTGACTGTGGTTAGACTGGCCACAAAGACACATAATCCTTCACCTCAGCCTCCTGTGTGCTGGGATCACAGGCAAGCACTACCATGTGCATTCTGGGAATTTGAGGTTAGAGTTGGTCTTTTGGAATGTCTAAAGTCACTTGGAGTCAAGTTTGGTGAACAAGGTAGGTCATCAAGTTGGAGGGTTCTAATTTGTATGGCACGATTATGAAGGAATGCATGAACTGAATTTCTCGGAGTGATTGACATGCTCTGATGGCAGCTCGGACACATTTTGCACAATGGAAAAATGACGGATCACGTGTACCCTTTTGATGTGATTATATTGAAGAGGAAGTCCATAGAAGGCTTAATTTCTGGTACTCACATATTCCACACATGAAGATTGTGCTGATGAGCTCATCAAACTATCTTTAGTCATTTTTAAAAATTGTTTTTAAAAATCGTCATTCCAGGCCATGATGTTGCCGGCCCGGAACCTGAACACTCAGGAGGTGGAGGTAGGAGGATCAGGAGTTCAAGGCCATCATCAGCTATATATAAATGTAAGGCCAACCTGGACTACATGAAACCTTGTCTCAAATAACAAAACAACCACTATTTTAAGAACACTCTGTTCTTCCAACAGCTATTCAAGCAGCCTCTTTGCAAGATGCCCATCTGTCAAGACAATCTGAATTGCTACATATTGAATTCCCTTTTGACTTTTTGTTCATATCACTTACAACTTTTTCATTATGTAAATATAGAAAAATGGTCTCGTACATGCTTCCTGCTCTCCTTCCATTTCATATTTACGAGACAGAGAAAAAGTTAGAAAGGAAATGCAGAATGAGTGAGCATTAATAGACTCACATATCAACCTATGTAAGAAATAGATTTTTATGAAAATTGAAGTTACATGCTTTGAAGCACATTACATTGAGGATAATGAAGCTTAAAGCAAAGTTTGAGTTCAGAAATATGTGAAATAAGAACACAATAATACACAGTAGTACAGTAGTGAAAGGCATAGTATATCAATATCTAGGAGAGTTTTTACTTTTTCCTTAAGGCAAAACTTTCATGTCATAGCACCCTGGGGAAGGGCTGTGGTTGCCATGCAGAGGTGTTCCAGAGTCTGGTCATACAGAAGCTTTGTGAGCATGTTGATATCAGGTAGGTTGTGAGAGCAGCCTGTTGGAGGAGCATTAATGTTATGGAAACCAGCGAATGTTACAGAGAATGGAAAATTTCTTCATAGCTGGTGGTTAAACACTACTGGAACATGAGTAGTCGTCTGCCTGCTTAGGCTCGCTTGCCTTTCCCCTCTGCTTGGAGCAGTTTTAATTGACCACCATTATGATATGCATAATTTTCAGAATTATGCTCCATCATTCTACCTAGAACCTTGGAACATGTAATGGGAGCTAAGGGTTTGCTGAGGTCCGTGAAGGGGCAAACTGATTGCTTCTCGAGTTGTCCTAGGTGTCACACTGTGTTCTGTGCAGTTGTGTCCAAGGTTCTGAGAGTCTATAGAATTTTTATGCTCGGTGGAGAAGAAATATAATTGCTACCTTCTACTCAAGGAAGTTACGAGGATTCACAGGATGAAAGAGAGAAAAGACTAGCAACAAAATAATGATGCTGATTTGCATCACTGGGTATCAAGAAGCCACATTATTTGATCTTTGTACCCCAGATATAGTGAAACTATGAAATTATGTTGTAATAAGAATTATTTAATTAGGGCTGGAGAGATGGCTTAGAGATTGAGAGAACTTTCTACTCTTTTTTTTTCAGAGGCCCTGAGTTTAGTTCCCAGGACCCATGTCTGGTGGCTCACAACTACCTGTAACACCAGTTCTAGAAGACCTTCTTCTGTCTTCTGTGAGTACCCACACACAGGTGCCATTCACACACACAGACACACATATAAATCAAAAACAATTATTTAATAACAGATTAGATTAGATCTATCTATCTATCTATCTATCTATCTATCTATCTATCTATCTATCTATTTATTTAGAGATATGTCTCACTATGTATCCTTGGCTGGCCTGAAACTTGCTATGTAGACCAGGCTGGTCTCAAGTTCATGGCAATTCACTTGCTGTATAGGTTGTGTACTTATTTGTATAATGCTACTGTTGCTGAAAATATGTTTGGACCACCCTTTGGAGCTGACTTCAGAATCATTTAAAAATCAAGCAAGAAAACTCATCTACTTGCTTTAGAGTCTCAGCTCATCTGGAACTCATCTTGAACATGGTGTGATCTATCGACACCATTGCTTTTACTCATCAGACTTTTAGCTTTAAATGATTTGGGGGCATTTTTTCAGAAGCTACAACTGTTCTTAAAAGGCAGAAATTCGCTCTCACCAAAGATGGTTTTTAAAATGACTTTGTGGTTGGGCTGGAGAGATAGTTGAGTTGGTGAGTTCTCTCCCTATAGACGTGAAGATTTGTGTTTGATCCCCAGAATCCACGTTAAAAATGGCCGGTGATGCTGGTACATGCTTGTCATTATAGCCCTGGAGATGTGGAGACAACAGCATTCCTGAGACTCCTTGGCCAGCCAGCCTAGCCTATTTGGTGAGCTCCAGGTCACCGAGACACTCTGTCTCTAGGGAAAAAAAAAAAGAGGTGGATGGCTCCTGAGGAGTAACATCCAAGTTTGTCCTCTGGGCTCCACAGGTAATCATACCAGTACATGCATCCACATGAACATGTGCACAGATATACATATATACACAAAAATAAGGAGGTGGGGAGGAAGGGAGAGATTAGATAGTCTCAGGCATCCAGCTGTTATGTGTGAAGTCTCTTCGGAGATAATTTAGAAATATTTATAATTGATAAGTGAATTAACCCTTTGACCCACAAACCATATTTCTTGGAATTTACCGCACAGATACATTAAGAAAATACAAGAGAAAAAAAGTCCTGCACAGACTGTTTACTACAACAAGGAAAGAGAGAACATACATATTTAACAACAGAAGGCAGGTGGGAGAATTTTGGAGAATCTATAAATTAGAACACGATTCCATAATTAGTAAGAACAAGGGGTACGCATGAAGTAAATACAGGAGAGCATACTGTCACTCTTTTTCACATATTTTATTAATGTGTCTGTGTGAATGAATGCCACAGGTGCCATGTGTGAGCAGGTGCCCACAGAGGCTAGCAGAAGGCCTCAGATTCCCCTGGAGCTAGAGTTACAGGAGATTTTGAACTGGGACGTGGGTGCTGAGAATTGAACCTAGGTCCTCTGAAAGGGCAGTGAATGTCTTAGTTAAGACAGTCTCTCCATTCCCAACACGTTTGTTTTAAAGAAGCATGTAGATACATATTAGTTCACACACACAACTCCAGACACACAAACCCGTACTATCTCTAGACGGACTTAAAGGAATGAGCAACACATTAATTTAAGGAGGGAAAGCAAGAAGCCCAAAAGAAAATATTGAGAAAGAAAAAATTTCACCTTTTAGTATTTGAATCTTTAACCACATTCTTTCATAAAATAAAAACAAATAAATTATGGGCACAAGGTCATCACAAGAAAGTTCTTTTTAAGTTCCTTTTTTTTTTTTTTTTTTTTTTTTTTTACATTTTATTTTCTCAGTGTGGGCATGGGCTAGTGTTTGTAGTCTGTGTGCACGCACATGCATCTTGAAATATGTGTGAAGATCAGAGGACACTTACCACAACTGGGTTTCTCTCTATACCATGTAAATTCCAGGGATTGAACTCAGGTCGTCTGGCTTGGTGGCAAGTGCCCTTTTCTGCTGAGCTATCTCTTCAGCCTTGCAAGCAATTTCTAAAGAGTCTTAAAGAATAGTAATGGTGCTGCAGTAATGATTTGATCCAAGATTTATTGCTTGAAGAGAAACTGGGAGGTACAATCTGCCTAGATATGTATATTCTGTATGTATATTCTGACACACTTGTTAAGAAAGGCTCCATTGGCCCACCCTTTTTTTTTAAAACTCATCTAATAGAGAGTTTAAAAAAAAGCTCATCTCATAAGGAAATGCCAGACTTGGAGGCAGTAGCTAAAGAGCACAACTGTGATCTTTATTTCTTTGTGACCCCTACAAGGGTGGGAACCATGTGGATCTCTCATACAGGCAGCCCGGAACACTGTCTGATTTAAGGAGGGATGGAGCTTATAAGAAAGAAGGCTGGAGATTTTACAGAATCCTGGGGCAGAAAAAGAGCCAGGCTCAGCCCTCTGGAGTCACACATGGACAGTGCCCTGTCACCCTAGAGCAGTGGTTCTTAACCTTCCTCATGCTGTGACCCTTTAATACAGTTCCTCAGGTTGTGGTGACCCTCAACCACAAAATGATTTTGTTGCTACCTCATAACTCTAATTTTGCTACTGTTATGAATTGTAATGCAAATATCTGATATGCAGGATATCCGATATGAGGCCCCCTTCTGCTACTGTTATAATTTGTAATGTAAATATCTGATATGCAGGATATCCAATATGAGGCCCCCATGAAGGGGTTGTGACCCACAGGTTGAGAACCACTGCTCTAGGGTGAAAACCCTACTCAGGCTGCTGCCACATTTAAGATACCACTTGGGAGCACTCCCCTGGAGTCTACATGAAGCTGCCGGTGCAACTTTGCTTCTATCTTATTGGTCAGAAACCACCCAAGTGACTAGCAGGGAACTATATTACTTCTGTGGGCTTGCCAACTGATACTCTGTGGCAGTGAAAGTGGGGGGGGGGGGGAGGATGGGTAACCTGTAACCATCACTCAGTCCTGCAGAACACGGCTCCAGGTTGAATGCAGATATGAGCTGGAAAAAGGGAGGTGGTGTCATCTCCATTTGGATCTCAATGGGAGACAACTGGATTTGAGTAAACTTGAATCTATGCTTCTGTTTTTAAATCTGTGTTTCTAAGATTTTGGAGGGAAGCTCTTTTTGTTGAAATATGCAAAGCCATGGAAAAAATAAGAGAAAAATATTTATCATCATTGGTAAATCGCTGAGCATGAATCCCAATATGAATTTCCTGATGGGTGGAATGAGAGTGGTCCTATAGCACCCTTGAGATAAGTTTTCAAGCTAGGTTATAATTTTATATGATTCAAGCGATTTGGTTTCCTTTGGAGACTGGTGGAACCCATCTGAGTTTCCCACATTGTAAGGGAAAGGGTAGAGGAAATAGGCCATTTGTGAGTAAGCTTTGGGTGGCTGTGATAAAATGCCCAAGATAAACAACTGAAAAAGAGGACAGGTTTATTTTGGCTTGTGATTACAGAAGTTCCAGTCAGCGGTGGCTCGGCTAACTTCTTTCCACTGGACCCTACTTTAGACATCCTAACACCTCTCAGCAAAGTCCTCCACTGGGAATCCTGCCTTTAACACATGAGCATGTGGGGGACATTTAAGATCTAAAACATTACAAAGACCAGGGGTCAAGCTCCTTGACATGAAAAGATCGCCTTTCTTTTTTAATGATCGTCTCTCAGAATGTGATAAATCACCAGGTGGCACTCTGTGTCATGGAAAAGTCAAAGTTGCTTTGTGAGTGTGCCGTGTTTCTCTTGAGTTTCATTTCTTCGTTCTCTTTTCCCGCTGAAGAAAACGAACGCCTGCTGGTCTGGCGTGGAAGCACATGCCTGTAATCCCAGCGTGCACAGAATGAAGGTGGGAGGAGTATGGGGTTGGGGATAGCCTGGGCTACATGGTGAGACCTTGTCTCAAGGAAAAAAAAATGGTTGCTGGGTAATCTCGGGTTATCCAGTAATTTCTTAATATTCTAATCAAATGGGTTTGAGGCTTTTCATACGTGAAAGCTTGTGTGAGCTGAGAAGCAGACAGGGTGGTGACCTCAAGAGGATTATTGGGGTGCTGGTGAGACGTAACTTTCTGATGCTGAAGTTTGGCTATAGTAGTCTGTGTTGAGACAGACTTCGAAAGTGTCTTTAAAGTAGGGGGTCTACCATCAGAAGGGACTGAGAATAAATTAATAACTTAATTTCTCTCAACTTTAGGGGTACTCTACTGTTTTTGATAGGCTTCAAGAAGCTATTGAATATGCATGCGAGTCTCATAGAGGGCCTCAAATATTCCTGAGAAAACAATTAAGAAATGAAGCCAATGCCGCTAATATTTCAATGTGTTATCACTTGAAGAGGAGCCCTTCAAGTACTGTTGTGGGAGCTAGACTGTGCTTCATAGTATTCACCTGCAGAAACACACGACCTGGGCTTAACAAAAATGATATATACTTCTGAGTGTCTTTCGTTACTTCTACTGAAGCCAGAGGTTGATAAGTGTTCACATCCCATCTCCTATCCCAAAGGAGCTTACCTGACACACGTTTGCTTTCTGGCTTAATGCTTCATAAAGACTCAGGAAAATGCTGGTGTTCAATAGTTATTGCTAAGGACAACCCGAGCCTCTGGTTTCCCCTCTGTGACAGTCTGCCTTCCTCCAGTTACGTCCCCTTCTCTGACTGGGGATGATGTCTTTTGGATCTTTTTTTTGTGTGTGTGTGAAAAAGTCCCTTTCTTCTCATTGTACTTCCCATTTCCTGAGCCAGAGTGCTTAGGCAATTTGCTCGCATCTCCTGTCATCCGGTTTCTCTTTGCAGGGGCCTCACTGTGATAATTGGGTCACCTAGTTGGGATAGATGAATTGTTCTTTGGGGTGAAAGCATTGCACTTGTTACTCGTTCGGTCTCTCTCTGTCTTTGTACAGCACAGGGCTGGGATTTAAGAAACCAAGTACAGATCATAATTGAACTCTCTAGGCAAGACTGACCTTGCACAGTACCTACAATTAGCTCCAGCAAGGGTACAAATGGGCTGTAAATGACCAGCATGAAGGTTAATTTAAATACAAGAGCAGTTAAAAATGGAACAGTTTGTCTTTTAGCCAAGATAAGATGTTTTATGATTCATAAATGATTCTAAAATTAGGGATGTGCAAAAGACAGATACCATCTGCAAAAACAGCCTTTACTCTATGTCACCAGGAGCTTGGTGTCACTCAGGACAGGTTTATCCCTGTTCATATGCACATGGTCCTTCACCAACATTTTGATTTCTGTAAACAATCCCCAAGTATACTCCTGGAGAAGACTTGACCATTTATTTCTATTTCAAGGTAGTTGAATTTGGCTTGCTGTCTGCCCCCCAATGTGGATAAGTCACCCAATGGACAATCAGACTGGGATCCCATTCATTCTCATTCTCACTTTTTTTTTTTTTTTTTTTTTTTTTTTGGTTTTTTGAGACAGGGTTTCTCTGTGTAGCTTTGCGCCTTTCCTGGGACTCACTTGGTAGTCCAGGCTGGCCTCGAACTCACAGAGATCCGCCTGGCTCTGCCTCCCGAGTGCTGGGATTAAAGGCGTGCGCCACCACCGCCCGGCTCATTCTCACTTTTGACTTCATGGTACCAGGAGTCATTTAAGATTTTGGAAATGTGCTCTGTTTTGGCTGCATGGCTATGGAGAATGTGTTTTTATATATTTTGCTAGAGAAAAGTCTTGCCTTATTTTCTCCATTGAGGCAGGAGGCAAATCTAGGTAAAATTTTTAATAGGCACTCAACAATC